AAGAAGAAGTAATAGAAGCACCTGTATTTTATGAAGACTCAAGTATTACATGACTATGCATACATCAGCATTTTAAGCAGTTTTCAGATAATAACCCATCTTAGACATGTATATCACTGTATATCACAAAATAAATAGATATAAATCTTCCAAAATTACGAGTAACCCCTAAAAATTGGTCTAGTCCTGACAGATTATGAATATTTGTTAAGTAAAAACAAACCTAATGGGAGTATTCATAATTTGAAAACAAAAATTGGATCTCTACATAGTAGTTTTTGTTGCTAGCTATTTTTTATTTTTTTTCAATCTTAATGCCTCGTGTTTGGTTTCTCATTCTATCAGACTACAGCTCTACATGTAAAAAACTAGCCAAAGTTTGAGATCCACTTGCAGCTCAAAATAATATCTGATAACACCCAATCATCGGCAGAAGTAAGATTAAAAGTGAGAGTAAATAGGAGTGATTTCAATCTTCTTTATTTGCAAAATATTCCCAATCCATCCATGAAAAAAGTTCATTGCAGAAGAAAAAGAAAAAAAANCAACAAACATAACCATCAGGGACCAAGGAAACTTTACCATTGCCATTCATTACTCGAAATAAAAAATTACTTGTCATGGAAATTTTAAAAGGCGAATGAGATTAATCATCTTGCATCTCGGCAGGAAAAGGAATTGAGGCACAGCAATGGTAGTAACCATTCTCGTCGTAAGCAAACCTTTGAGAAAGATGAGCCTCGCAGATAGGGTACTCGCCCCATTCCTCAGAACCATACTGATCAAAAATACCTCTGGCATCAAACGAGTCAACATTCTTGGACCATTTCGTTCTGAAAAATAAAAATAAATTAATAATGAATAGCTGACGAAAAGGAGAAACGACAAAACCAAATGGTTACACACGTGAAAACAAGAACCAACTAGCTATAAGTGAAGAAAACAAAAACAAGTGCACCTTTTCCTGTGACGCGCATTCATAATGGTAGCGTGCAACTGCATTGAACGGGAATATTATCAATTGTCAATATTTATAGAAAGATGTACACAAAACAGAGAATTAATGGAGAGACGATATGTGTGCGCGCACATACAAACACAGACAAAAGAAAAGAAAAGACAGTTGAACATATGATTCAGTAGCCACAAAACTGGAGAGGATATTATCGGCACATCCAAATATTTTAGTCCCAGAGAAACAAACCAGAGGGAAGGAGTAATCGTGACAGAGAGAGAGAGTTCAATATTCGCATCAAATAAACAATGACTCATCATGTTAAGAAGAATCTCCAAGCGTAAACAATATAAAAAAGTTAATATCCTATTAAAGTACTAATAAGTCTTCATAATGAGATACAAAGTACCTTTAAATCATGTTGAGCATGTCTCCCAATGACCAATCCAGCCTCCACAAATGCATCTCTAATGACTTCTAAGCAAGTTCAAGAAAATCAAAATAGTTGTCCAGATAATACACATTAAAAAAAAACCAAATAGTTTTCTTGACACATAAAAGATTAAGTTAGCAGTAATTAAGATAAAAGAAAGAAAATGTGGATACGACAAGCACGTAAAAGTCGACCCTCGTCCCCAATTTCTTCTACAGGAGCATAAACGACACGAGCCTTGTCCAACGAACCTCTAAGGCAACTCTGCAAGAAAGATGGGAACCAAAAACCTTAATAAGTATCCTAAGCAACATATTCTGTTCCACAGAAATTGCCAATCACATATCGCGCATCACAAGGCTAGTTCCAAATATAACTAACATTTCTAGTAAAATATCTTCTTGAGGAATGATCAGGCACCAACAAAAGAGATGACATCAATGGCAATCAGGTGCTAAAGTTGTAATCGAGATGCAATTCTCACCAGTCCCTTAAGTCTGACTGAAAGTGGCTTGCTGTCTAATGCATCCAGTACTTTCGGTGAGACGCTCTAGAAGGCATGAATAGTCATATGGTAAAGCCTTGAAAAGCATCATTAGTCAGATATGCATGCTCGGTTAGAAGAACTTTACCTGCAAAATCTCTGCAGCTGCTTTGACTCGATCCTTGTTCCATAACTTCAGCATGAGTACAGTTAAGTGGAAGGTCGTTGGTTTGATAAATATGGACTTATCAATTCCCAAATCTGCATATAGAATATGATCTGATCAATTCCAGGAAGAATTACATGTCAAAACATCTCTTGTTAGCTGCTAGAGGAACTACAGTGGGAATTCATATTTACATTAAATTTATACTGGGTAAGAATATAACTCTAATTTTTGAATATACATGCAACGAAACAGAAACTACTGAAAACATATTGCTAATCATGTTGACTTATATACCTCTTGATTCTGAAGAACCAGCAACATTCAACTCTTTAGGACGGTAACTGACGAGAGGAATATTAGCAATTTTCGCTATTATCGATGCCTTAGAAGAGTGTTCAGCTCTGAGTTCAGCCACTCGAGGTGCCTTCGCTGAATGTTGGACATGAGCATCAACTTTTTCAGCTTCCAACTCAACAACTTTGGAATTAGTAGCGTCTTCAGCTTTGTGTTCAGCCACTAGAGGTGCTTTAGCTGAATGTTGGTCACCCGTTATATTTACTTCAACATGCGCATCGACTTTTTCAGTTTCCGACTCAACAACTTTGGAATCTTTACTTGATTGCTGTTCTGCCTCATCTGCAGTACCACCATCATTCTCATCTTTATCTGATGCTGTTATTCCAAGTATTGTATTCTGAAACTCGACGAGTTTGTTAACTAGTCCAGGATGGATAGCTAACGGAAGTGAAATGAAGTGCGAGTAGTCGAGGTCACGGCTATTAACAGCCTGTTAGAAGAGAAGAAAAATAAAATATAAGTAATTAAGAGCCAAGATTGAAATAAAATTGTAATATTAAGCCTTGGAGGTAAAATTAATCGAAATTTCAGTATTAGATATGGAAATGAATGAAGCCAGGAAATAAAGTGGCAATTTATTATCAGATATTTCGGCCCAGGGAAAGTTGAAACAACAAAATATAAATGGATGGCGATTAAAAAATTAGAACCTGATTGATTATAACTTGTATTTTCTCAGATGCTTTAGCTACACGTTCAGCTGAGGTGCCTTCAATGCCTGCAGTATAAGATATACTGTCCATATAAGAATATCAGTTGGAATAAAACACATAACACAAGACTGCCCAACTCTATACACCATTCAACAATATTCATTATGCTGATATGGTAGAAACTAGAAACAGAACAAGCATTTCAGGAAAATTATGTGACTGTCAACGAAAGAGAAAAGTGAAACTCCATGGTAGTCAATATATAACAAAAAATAATTTTCAAGAAATAACTGATGATAGAAAATGTCATGACTGCTCTACGATCAACTCTGGATAAAAGTGGTCCAGAGTTAATAGGGAAAAAAAAATAGTACTTGAGGATCAATGAAACATTCCATTCTTAGAGACACCAGCTTAGGACAAATGTCTGTAACATGAAACTGAGCATAAACCGAGAAAAAGAAACATAACATGTAGGGAAATAAGAACTCACAGATAAAATCATCAGTTTTGGATGAAGGAAACATAATTTTAACCCCAGTCTCAGCCTCAATTTTCTTCTGAGTGCTATCCCTGTTCAAAATGTATAACAAATATCACAGGTTTACATCAATACAAGAGCAAATGTATGGGGCGTACCCTTTCCCTTTGATGAAACGCATCAACGACCGTCCTACCTGCAATTATACACAACTTCAGGTAAACCGTATCCATCAAGGAGAACTTTAAAACCTATGAAGATATAACTCCCAATAATATTGTGTATTGATGAACAAAAAATTAATTCAACCCAATTAGCCTTAAGAAACAACAAAATAATAATAATAAAAAAAAAAAAGAGAAAAAGAAAAGTAATACATTCATAAAAGAACTAACTAAGCCTCATGCATTAGGACAGATTAACAAGATAAACAACTAAAACTCACAAACATAAGAAACCTTACCTCCATCGATATTGAATGATTCTCTGGAGGCACTAAGTTCTCATCTGAAGATATATCAACCTTGCTACTGTTTGACGTAGGACATGCATCTTCTCCGATTGACTCGGTAAGAACTTCAGGATTACTACTTTGAGCTTCAGGTGCTAACACAAAAGAGGAAACAAAATAAATTTTCTTCACCATGAATCAATCAACCAATAGGTAGCACCGAAAAACGAACTTTTGAAACAGATGCCATTACTCGATCATTACACTATTCAGGATTGAAGAATCGAGCTCACTCAAAGACAAATCCCAACATAACACCAAGGAAAGAGTACATCTTTACAACTTTGGCCGATTACAGATAACACCAAAAATGTTAGGATCCTTAAAATGACAATATTCACCCCGCCAAGTATCTCGCTGCAAATGAGAAGAAAAATTACCCTCATTGCAAATAGGCTCAGTAGACAACGCCTTCCACGTTTGTGTAACGTTTTTATGACCTTTTCCACCAATATCAACTCTTCTCTTTCTACTACTCATCGTCAAATCGTTGCTAACAGCATGGAAGAACTTATACGCCTGACATGAAATTAACAAAGTAAACTGAAAAAACCTAAAAAAGATCAGAATTTGGGTTCACTTCAACATTAATATTTCATTTTCCTAACCTGAAAGTGAGGTAATGGCTTCGGCTGTAAGCAAGTAATCGTACTACTACGAGCTCCAATGCTAACTCTGCAGAAGAAAAACTCAACGAGATATAAAATCATATCAAAAATAGAAAAATTGGAATACAAATCTGTAATTTACTGGGTGATACCTGAAGAGAAAGCTACGAGGTATCATCCGTGACTCACCGGCGGCGACGGCGGCCAACATATACGTGTACTACTACTTCGTTATTTTGGTTTTTACCTTTTCATGATCGGGCATAGACGGCTAAAAATGGAGTCGGTACTCGGTGAGTAAAAGTGAAAGCTTCGATTGGGCTGAACTTGGGGGTGTATGGGCCAACTCACATAGGAATGGCCCATTATTAACCAATTTTGAACATTTCTCTGGGATTTAACCGAATTGAAAATAATCGATTTGGTTATGCTATTTAAAAAGATCATATTATATGATTCAATTATTTTGGTCGCTAAAGTGTGATTGGATTTGGATATGAGTTATTTTATATTTGATTGAATTTATTGAATAAATTAATTTTTTTTTTCAAAACGATAGATACACGTAATTACAACCGACTAAATAGTCAGAAAAAAGAGGCCTACTCAAGCTAGCTTAAATGCCGAACTAACACAAAAGAAACTAAAAAAACTCCCACTTGTGGAAAATACAAACTTCCAAAAAGAGCATACACAGTTCCACAAATAGAGAATAACAAAACACTAACACACACTTAAGCAACACTAACATATAAGAAAAAAACTAAAACAAATAAACTAAACTATAGCCTCACGAAACTGACCACAAGGGTACTTCCCAAAGCGGACAGAGACCCAGACCAAAGTTCAGAATCAGAAACTGCAATATTTCTATGCCTAACTAGAGCCGAGCCAACGACCCAAACCCCTCATCCAAGAAAAATACCCGTGAACCAAGTCGGAGACTAACTCCAACACACCCACACTCACCGGCAACCAAAGGCCGACGATCCACCAGAGCAACAGATCCCTACCCACCGGCTAGCCACATCGCCTAGCCCCAAGGCGATACGGAAAATAGAGGGGAGGAGAGCCAAAAAGCCCGAGCTTCTAACCCCTACAACCACCGGCGGGCCGGACCAACAACCACTGGCGCCACCATCGGCGGAACAATGCCCAAACATTAGGAAA